TATTCGACAAAAAATAAAAAATAATTTCTTTATTCATTTGATGATACACACATTGGATAAGCTATTCTTAGAATTGTTGCGTATAACACATAGAAGACGACTCATAAATTGATTTTGGTTTGATAGATGAATCATTCATTGATCTGCAACTTCAAATCTGCAAATGATATATGAACATTGACCCATTAAAAAATACAGTTTCTCACAGTGATATTGATCTCGTTGGGACATGGTATATTTTTTCAGACATGTTTTTTACAAACCCATCACCCAGCAATTGATCACAAAACAGAAGTTTCAACCAAAATCAGGTCACTAAAGGACATCCATGGAAAACGTGAGAGAAACACCGGCAAGACGACGACGCGCTGCCCTCACCGTTGGGATTCGGAATGTCAATAACTTGTCCAAGAAAACCCTGCCAATAATAGAAAAAATCGAAGACGATGATTAAAGACTTTGTCGGAAAATTTAGGAGAAACAGAGAGAAAGAGAGAGAGTCGGCAAAGATCTATGATAGATAGAGAGAGAAGGGGGAGGAAGGCGCATACTTACGAAGAGGAAAAACCGTAACATGCTTTTTATGTTTTACACAATTACCCCTTATATATAAACTAATTACAAAATTAGCCATATATTATTAACATTACTAAAAGGTACGGATCAGATCGGATATTTCGGATAATTTTATTTTGATATCCATATCTGATCCGTATCCGACAAATATTTTGAAACCAATATTCGTATCTGATCCGTGAACTCCGAATATCCGAATTTTCGGTTCGGATACGGATCGAATAACGGATCGGATCGGTTTTTTCGGATATTATGCCCACCCCTAATTTCTGGTATACCACCGACTGAGTTGTCACGTCAGCATCACGTCATCATTTTAAAAATTAAAATATTTGATAATATATATATACAAATATATATATATATAAATTTATATATATGTAAATTTATTTATTTGATTAAAATATTTGTATATATAAAATTTTAAATTACAAACTTAATATATATACAAATCAGGGTCGTCTCAAAGTTAGAGGAGACCCTGTTCAATATATGTAAATGAGATATATATATATATATTTATAAATTAAAATTAACTTATTTTATAATTTTTTTTATTGAATACTCTTATATACTAATAAGAAAAATTAAAATTACTTTGTTTATAATTTTTTTGATTGAAATATTCTTATATACTAATTTGTTTAATGTTTTTCTAAAATATATATTGATTAAAAATTATTTATATTTGTTATCAAATTATATTTTTATTTTGTTTCAAATTTTTCAAAAAATTTAAGATTACTATAAAATAAAATAAATCTACCGTAATTTAATCAGATTTTAACTTTTTTATATTTTTTTATAATGAATTTTATCTTTTTATTTAAAACCCATATAATTATCAAATTTTAAAAATAATTTTTTTTGAAAAAATGAGGCCCTAGAAAATTGGGGGCCCTCTGCCATGGCATCACTTGCACACCCTATTAGACGGCCCTGATACAAATATATATGTATATATTTGATAAAAAAATATATATATGTATGTATATAGGTATATGTATATATATTTGTATATTTAAAATTTTAAATTACAAACTTAAGATACATACATATATATATATATATATATATATATATTTGATCAAAAAATAGAAATTTATATTTTAATTTTTAAAATGATGACGTGGCACTGGCGTGTCAACTCAGTCGGCGCTATGTCAGCAATCCATCGAGTCATGTCAGCTTTTTTATCAAATAAGTAAAAAATTTTATATAAAATAAAATGGTAAGCTTGTAATTTTTTATATAATTTTTTTTATCAAATTTAGAGTTTTTTTTTTATAGGAAAATTACAAATTTAGGATTTTATATAGAACAAGTTTGGTTTTTTTTGGATTAACCCTAAAAAAAAATAACCATCTAAACTATATCTTTCTACTCAAACCCATATAAAGCCCATGAGCCCATTAAATATCGATTGGGCCCATTAATAGCATTTAGGTATATTTTAAGTATCCTTTTCTCTCTCTATAAATAACCATTAAACCTTTAACCCTAGCATCTCAATTTTCACAGCCGCACTCTTCCTTTCTCCCTCTCGTTGCGTCTTTTGTCGCCATTTTTCTCTAGTTTCCATGGTTTTTTGCAAAATTCGACATTGTATGGGAGTCGTTTTCTGATACAGGAAACGGCTCTGATACCATGTTAAGTTTTGTAATAAAACCAGAAAATGTTCAACATAGTTCGAATTCCTTCCCTATTTTTGGTTTTTAATTTTCTCTGATCGCTTTCGATAGGCGTTGCGTTCTTCGTTCGGGGATTTTTTGTGACCCAGAAGGGCGTGTCAACGGAAGCGTAGATTGAATCTTCGATCCGATGGTTTTTTTTACTGAATTCGGATAATCTCCGAATCAGAGATTTCGATCTGATGGGTTTAGCGATTTGTGCTTTTTTTCCATCGAACAATCAATCGGGTCGGAAAATTTTCGAGATTTCAGATTCAAATTACGAATCCTTCGATCTTGCTTTTGGAGATTTAGTACGATGTCGTTGTTGCTTCTTACTGGTGAACTCTCTTAAAGTTTAATACAGTGGGAGATGTTCATGTTTCCGAAGCATACAAGAATCTGGCCAGAATTAAACAGCTCTGTGTTTAATCTTTGTTGTTGCACAGTGGCTACCTGTCTCCTGGTATATATATTTCTCAATAAATTTCATGAAAAAATATGTTTGTAGATCGTTTATTACAAAGTTTTGATTTTTCTGGTGTAATCCCTTGGTTTATGAAAGATTCAATGTGTAATCTCGTTTATTCTGCAAAATTAATAGAAGACAAACCGTAAAACATTTTATCAATGCAACTGCGATCGTTGGAACATGAAACAGTACACCAAGAGATCAAATAATACAGATTTAAAAACATCTTCTAACAAATGAGAGAGAAAGGATTTCTGAAAATATTCTTCCTTGTATTGCAAATAGTGCCTCAGATGTTTATATATAATTTCGAGAAAGAGAAATAAAACAAATCAAATAATGAGAAAATACATTTGCAACAACCCTATATGTCAGACTAAAAAGGCTACGAGAACACGTCGAGGAAAAAGCAAAAAAAGCTGATAGTTGCTTGTAACCTCCATTGGCATGATCATCTGCACATAAAAGGGTTGTAGAATATTGATACTCCCCCTCAAGATGGAGAATACAGATGATGTGAGATGGAGAATACAGATGATGTATTCCCATCTTGGAGAGGAGATAACGAAATCTCTCAACAGTCAGAGGCTTAGTCAACAAATCTGCAATCTGTTCAGATCCGGATACATGCAATGGTTTGACAAAACCAGTCTTAATCTTCTCATGAACATGGTAGTCCAGCTCGATGTGCTTTGTCCGCTCGTGGTAGACGGGATTGTTGGTAATGTAGATGGCAGATTTGTTATCACAGAATAAGTTGACAGGCTGAGGAAAATCCAGTTTCAGATCATGAAGCAAAGAGCCGAGCCATACCAGTTCAGAGCATGCATGAGCCATGCTTCTGTATTCAGCTTTGGCTGAGCTGCGGGAAATGGTAGACTGCTTCTTAACACGCCAAGAGACCAAGGAAGAGCCAAGAAAAAAACAGTAACCAGTTACCGAACGTCTGGAATCCGGGCAGCTAGCCCAGTCAGCATCACAAAAGCCACTGAGAGAAACCGAAGCAGAAGATGAATACAGAAGGCCTTGAGCAGGATCATTTTTCAGATACCTTAAAATACGCATGGCTGCCTGAAGATGCCCAGAACGTGGCTGAGTCATGTATTGACTCAACTTGTTGACAGAAAATCCAATGTCAGATCGAGTTATCGATAGGTAAATTAGTTTACCTATTAACTTTCTGTAGACAGAAGCATCAGCGAGTAAGTCTTCTGTATCTTGACCGAGCTTGATGTTCAACTCCATTGGAGAACCAACAGATTTGCAACCCAACATGCCAAACTCATCCAATAATTCAAGTGTATATTTTCTTTGACAGATGTAAATGCCTTCCTTAGATCTGGCCACTTCAAGACCTAAAAAGTACTTGAGATCCCCCATATCCTTAATATGAAAGTTAGAGCTGAGGACTGATTTTAACTCAGCAATCAAGGAAGAGTCATTGCCAGTGACTAGTATATCATCGACATAAATCAAGGCAGCAACAAAACGAGAACCATTCTTCTTCATGAACAGAGAATTATCAGCATTAGACTGATGATAATCAGCATTCAAAAGTACCTGATTGAGCTTGGTATTCCATTGTCGAGAGGCTTGCTTTAAGCCGTAAATAGACTTGTTCAGTTTACAAACTGCATCAGATGAGACAGACTCCCCCTTAAGCTGACTATAACCCGGTGGCAAGTCCATGTAGATCTCCTCATCAAGATCCCCATTAAGAAAAGCATTAGAAACATCTAATTGATGGAGAAACCAATTCTGAGAAGCAGCAAGAGCCAACAAAACCCTCACAGTGGTCATTTTTGCTACAGGACTAAAAGTCTCAAGATAGTCAATACCCTCTTGTTGTGTATACCCCTTAGCCACCAAACGAGCTTTGTATTTATCAATTGATCCATCAGGATTATATTTGGTTCGAAAAACCCATTTGCTGCCAATAGACCTTTTGCCAATGGGCAGTGAACAAACAGACCAGGTGTTAGTATGAATCAGAGCCTCAAGTTCAAGCTCCATAGCCCTTTTCCATGAATCAGATTTTGCTGCCTGGGTAAAGGTTTTAGGGTCTTGAGTGGTAGTAATGTTCAGAATAAAGTTTTTGTAAGTGGGTTCAAGGCGATCATAGGTGATATATTTGGAGAGAGGATAAGGAGTGGTGTTTGATGTGGTGGAGGGTATGGTGTCTTGGTTGGATAATAAGAAACAGTGATAATCCTGGAGATAAGTAGGTCGAGTTCTCGGTCGCTGGGGCCGAACAATGTTATCTGAAGTACCATGTTGTTCCATCAAGGGGGTGGAGAAAATGAAGGAATCTGGGCAGATGAAGGAGATGTTAAAGGAGAAGTTGCTGAAATAGGAGCGGAAGAAGCAACAGGAGAAGGAGAATGAGAAGGTGATTGAAGAGTACTCTGTATGAGAGAAGATGAAAAAGGATCATCATATAATAGGTAAGGAGAAGGCTGAGAATTGAATGGCTCAGAAGGTGAGGCAGGGGAAGATTTGTGATGAAAAGGAAAAACAGTTTCATGAAAGATGACATTTCTAGAGATGGACACTGTTTGAGTTTCAAGGTTCAAAACTTTGTAACCCTTGAAACCAGGAGAATACCCCAAAAACACAGAAGGCACAGCTCGAGGGCTAAATTTATGTCGATCTTTGGCATGAGTTGAAACATAACATAGGCACCCAAACACTTTAAGATGAGAATAATCAGGTTTCTTGTTTAAAAGACGCTCAAAAGGAGTTTTGTTTTGAAGAATGTGAGTTGGTGTACGATTTACCAGGTAGACTGCTGTTAAAATGCAGTCACCCCAGTAACAAAGAGGAATTTGTGCTTGAAAATAAAGTGCTCTAGCAATATTAAGAAGGTGTTGATGTTTTCTCTCAACTACAGAATTCTGTTGAGGGGTATAAGGGCAAGATTTGTAGTGTATAATGCCATTTTGAGAGAGAAAACCAGAAAAATTTAATTCAGGGGCATTATCACTTCGAATTGATTTGATGGTAGTGTTGAATTGATTTTCGACCATTTTAGCAAAAACTGGAAACTTAGAAGAAACTTCATATTTACATTTCAGCAAATAAATCCAAGTTACTCGACTGCAATCATCAACAAGGGTTAAAAAATAACGAAAACCTTCAACAGTGGATTCATGGAAAGGACCCCAAACATCAACATGAACAAGTTCAAAAGGTGTATTAGATATATGATTCTTAAAAGGATAAGATAAGGCTTTCTGTTTTGCCAAAGGACAAACAGTACAATGCTGAGAAGTAGAAGACTGTGAAAACGATAAAACAGAAGAGTCTATAGCTTTAATCTTCAAGTGCGAAGGGTGACCCATGCGAAAATGCCAAAGATCAACAGAAGATGCCGTAAGAGCAGTGCATAAGGGAGAAAACTGTGGAAAATGGACAGAGGAGGGCTTCGGAAGTTCGAGAACATAAAGATTATGCATCTGTTTACCCTCTCCAATTGTCAAGGCCAGAATAAGGTCCTGAATGACATAAGACGTACCAGTGAATGAAACAGATAAAGAAGTATTCTTGGTGAGGGAACTGATGCTAAGTAAATTATATTTGAAAGACGGAATAAACAAAACAGATTGAAGGACTAAGTTAGGAAATAGAGGTACCGACCCAGATTCAGAAACTGTAATGGAAGTGCCATTTGGTAAGGATATCGAAATAGGTGGAACAACATGGATTTCAGAGAACAAGGTTCGGTCACAGCATATGTGACAACTCGCACCACTATCTAGAATCCAGAATATCGGTAAATAGGAAAGGTTCGATGAAGAAGTAGAAAGGATAGCGGTAGAAATGATACATGGGGATGGAGGTGGTGAAGTGGTTGCAGCAAAACCTAATTCGTTGGAGGAAGAACCATGGTTCTTCAACTTGGAGGAATACTGAGCCAACAACTCCTGCGCTTGTGCCAGCTGCGCACGCATATCAAGAGATTCAGCAGAGGGGAGTGAACGATCCTGATGATTAGCAATAGAGCCCAGCATATTGATTGGGTTCGAAGAACGATCAAGGTTAGGGTTTCGGGAATTTGGGAATTGTGGGTTAGGAGGAAAATGCGGGGTTGGTAAAAGAGGAGCAGGAGACTTGTACCCCTGTGGAAAGCCGTGTAAATAATAGCATCGGGCCACGGTGTGGCCCATCATCCCACAGTGGGTGCAAATGGGTCGAGGCCTTGAATGAGATAGGTTTTGGTGTTTGGGTTTTGAAGTGGGCTGAAAATTTCTAGGGTTCGAAGAAGAGGGCGAAAAAGATGGTTTAGGGCGAAATGAAGAAACCTGGAAAGCAGCATGATCGTTCGAAGAACCAAAAGAAATTCGTTGCTGCTCTTCCTGGGAAACAAGATTAAAGGCCTTCGACAAGTTGGGTAAGGGCTCAAGCATCAGGATCTGGCGGCGAACAGCGTTGTATGAGTCGTTTAGGCGCATCAGGAACTTAACGACGTTGTTCTTCTCAAAGAGATGAGTCCATTGTTCCGCCAGATTGCAAGAACAACCGCCGCAGGTACAACCGTCACAGGTACAACCGCCGCAGGTACAAATCGGAAATGGCTCAAAGTTGCGTAACTCCTCCCATAATGAGGTGAGTTTGTTGAAATAGGTGTCGAGATTCATCGATCCTTGATGGAGAGTATCCAACTGTTGTTGGATGTTGTAAACCTTCGATACATTCCTCTGCTTAAAACGACTTTCCAGACTAGCCCAGACAAGATGTGCATCGTCAAGATAAACGATCAAACTTGCGATGTCAGTACTAACAGCATTGGTAAGCCAGGTGCAAACCATGTCATTAGTACGAGACCATAAACCTGAATCAGGATGATCAGGAGGAGGTTTTGGAACTGTGCCAGAAACAAATCCCATCTTGTTTTTGGCATTTAGAGTTTTAAGGATAGATAGCTCTAGACCAAACATTGTAGTTGGACTCACCTTGCAACTTTTCAGGAACGAGTTGCAGGTTTGAAGAGTCGGCAGCATGAAGATATAAAGGACTCGAATATGGGTCTGAAACAGAGGAGGAAATGGGGGGAGGAACAAGAGGAGGTGGAGGAATGGGAGCTGAAGAAACCGATGCATCAGATGCTGTGGAATCAGCCATGGGAAAATACGAAAAAAAGGATGAGGAAGGGCGAAAGAAACGAGGAAGAAAAAGATGAACAGCGGATTAGGTATGTCGCTCTGATACCATAACAAATGAGAGAGAAAGGCTTTCTGAAAATATTCTTCCTTGTATTGCAAATAGTGCCTCAGATGTTTATATACAATTTCGAGAAAGAGAAAAATAAAACAAATCAAATAATGAGAAAATACATTTGCAACAACCCTATATGTCAGACTAAAAAGGCTACGAGAACACGTCGAGGAAAAAGCAAAAACAGCTGATAGTTGCTTGTAACCTCCATTGGCATGATCATCTGCACATAAAAAGGGTTGTAGAATATTGATATCTTCTAACAGAACTGAACTGAAATTGTCCTCTGAAATCAACGAGGACTTTGGAGTTTTGATTTATTCATAAATACCCTTTTGGACAAAAGAATTAGCTTTACAACAGATCCGAATTGTACGGTAACAATTCCTTTGGTGTTGTAACATGATTGCACAATCTTGAACCCTTCAACCCTGTCGTGGCTCGGACAATCTTGAACCATTGGCTCATCGGTTCACACGAGCTGTCTTTGCTCAAACACTTGCAAGGATTCGCTACAACGTTGCTGTTAGTGTCCACGTCAAGGCATAGAGACGAGGTCTTGTTACTTGTGGTTGAAGCCAAGTGCATTTTGGAAGCTGAGATGGTTTGCCATTTCGAGTTAGGGCTCCAGCAACTCAGACCGAGTCGAACTGGTTTCTGTGTTCCCGTACTTTGGATGCAAAAGGGCATGCCTTGGATTTTCAGATTGTTCTTTGAAGTGTAACTCCATGGCTCTGATTCCTTGCATGGACCTAATGTTAGCAGTGTTGGGTCCAATTCAGATTGTACCACGCAGAGTCCGGTTAAGGGGTGAAAAATCAGATCGTAGAAATCGGTTCGAGGGCCCGGTCCTGTAAAAAAAACAAAAGTCATATAATATTAACTTGTATAATTTTTTTGCATGATAATAGCCGCGACTTGGTTATTCAGTAAATTGGATAATAAGTTTTGCACAAATAACGTTGTTGAACGTTTCTTGTTTCCATGTTTGGTCCGTTTATTCTGCTAACATCTTCAAAATCAAAATTCCCGCATTTGAATATACCTTGAAGTTGAGATTGAAGCAAAGATAACCTTTGCAAGAAACTCGAATTCCGAACATCATTCCAGTCCGAATCCAACGCACCATAATACTCGATCATTCCGACCACACCTTGTCTGATGTAATAGCTTCCGGTGAGCGTCCAGAGTGCCCAGTCGACGTCGTTCTCGGCGGCCCAACCCAAGAAACACCCGAAATACCGGTTATCGTTAGCGTTACCACCTCTCTCATCTATCCCGAACTCGCTAAAGAACAACGGAAATCCTTTGTTGAGAAGAAAACCACCTCCTTTGTTTATACGATTCAAAACTCGGCCGCAAATATCGTTAGGATTGTTTGTTGCCCACGAGTTTCCGTCGCTGAAAGCGTACCAATGGAGCTCAAAAACGAGTTTTCCAGCAAAAGATAGGTTGACGGGTCGAGCTCCTACGAAGGAGAGGTCGGCGTCGAAGCTTAGACCAGAGAGAATCACAAGAACGTTAGGGTTTGCTGAGTGAATCGCTTCAGCACCTTGTTCCATATACCTGTAGCATATATATATATATATATATAAGTCACCACACTTAGTTCCCTCTCTCTCTCTCTCTCTCTCTCTCTCTCTGAAGAGCTACTGGTATAAAGAATGAAACGTGTAAAGTAGTGGAGATACCGTACTTGAACCAGTCGTTAGTGTTTTGTCTAGATCCTCTGAGTTCGTTCCTTAAACTCATTCCAACAACATTGGAGACACCGTTGAAGATAGAGGCCATGTTGGTCAGACCGGAGATCCAAACGGCCGGATCGAAAAACCGGTCGCCGAAAAAGCCATTGCCGTCGTCGTTTGAGCAGCACCACCCTGGCTTGGTGATGTGGTTATCTAGTACCACCATTACACCCTTGTTCCCCAATGCCTCGACCACCGTCTACGATACAATAATATAAATAATATTTGGTTAAATTCAAATGATTCATGTATAAAACTGATATGTTGATGTTGGTATGTATGTATGTATTAAAAATCTGGTTAATGGATGATTCCTAATTTTTCTAGACATGAAATTTTTTTGAAACGTACGTGTGTGTATATGCATGATGCATGCACGACATATGACGTAATTATTCGAAACTTATAAAACGTGTCCAACGAAAAGAATATTTATTATAGTTCTATATATATATATATATATATATTTTTTTTTTGATAACAAATATATATATATATATATATATATATATATATATATAACTATTGTATAATCATTCGACCCCTACACCATGTGGTAAGGTGTGATTCAGTATATACGTTATTTTGCAACGCTTATATGAAAATCATGAACTGTTTTTTATGAATTGATGAAAAAAAATCTATTTTTTTTAAATCCAAATTCATTTTGTATTCATCAAATTCAACGAATGCATTTAAGTCAACGAAGCTTGACACGTGATATTTGTTTGGATTTTTTTCTTACATTGCAAATGTCCCATCCGACCCTTTTTCCTACTTTTGTACAATTATTAATATTTTTATTATAATTAATTCATTTTTATTATCAATATTAATAATCGTATAAAAGGGGAAAAAAGTTGGATGGGATATCTGTTCATGTATACACAAAAAGGGGAAAAACTCCAAACAAATATCACGAGTGTTTTCAAGCTTTATTAACTTCTTTTACCCACTACCAAACATCTTATTCTTTGCATTTTCCTTTAAATAATTATTAAACCGTTGAATATAAAAAAAAATTTCTCTCACATAAATTTTCATTGAGTGTGAAGGGTATCTAAAAATAGGATATGTAAAACCGAATAAAAATAAATCGAATAACTCATATGAATTTATTTTCAAAATAGATTGGGAAACCAAATTAATCGAAATCAAATATGAAAATACACAAAAAAAATGTAAAAAAATAGTTTTATTTACTCGTTAAAATGGATGCAAATGTTGATATATATATATATATATAATGCATAAATGTGCACGTTATCTCATGCTTAATTCAAATACTATCAGTAAAAATAAATATAATAGAGAGTGGTTGTTGGTTTAGGACAAACCTTGAAAGCATCAATGAGGGGAAGATCAATGATGGAGGGGTTGTGGGTTTGGAAGCCAACGATATCATCATTTAAACCAAGGCTTTGAAAAGATTGCCTAACGGTCACATTGTGAGCCAACGTGAAATTGGTGGCCAGATCAAGAGGCCAAGTTAACCTGACGCAGTTGAAACCCATCCCCACTATCTTCTCCGCTATTTCCTCGACCGGTTTCTTGCTCAGCCCTTCCGCCACCACCGGCTGGAGGTGCGACGGCCAGTTCGCGCACGCGAGCTTTACCCGCTGGCCCGTCTCGTCCACGATCCATCTCGAGCTTGTGGACAGAGGGTATGCCTCGTTTGGTTTGGTAATGAAGGAGAAGGCGAGGAAGAAGAATGGGAAGAGACAAAGGTTGAGTCTTTGAAAACTTTTTGCCATTTTTTTTTTAATTTTTTTTTTTTGTGTTTGGGCGAATCGTTTTGACAGGAGTTTATATAAAGAGAGGTGACTGTCCTTGTCACCACCATTTCTCTCGTCCTTATATTAATTTCTTTTATGGTTCCTTTTTTTTTTCATGTTGACGACTTATGTGGTATTCTATTATTATTATTATTGAAGCCTTGATTTATTTATTTATTTATATGGGTTGCTTCTAGTTCATTTTGCTCGCTAAATACCCTTTTTTAAAGGTTAATTATATTTATCCATGGTCATATTTGCCAAAGGAGTGAAAGATAATTTTTTTTGGTAATCTAAATATTCATAGGGTCTTTGGTCCAACTAAATCTCTCAGTAGACCGGGGTAGTCCATGTGAATTCTCCTCCGCAAGCTCAGGATTTGAATAGCCGACGACGTGAAAGACCCATTTTCCCTTCATTTGTTTTGAAACAACAATATAATGTCACCACAAGAATTCGATGTGGTATTTATTATCACTAGAATGATTATTGATTTCTTACGTTTTTCTTGGGAGTTTATTATAATTTAATTACTAATTAATTGTTTTGGTAAAAGCATAAAACACTAACTTAATCATCATTAAGGAAAATAAAAATAAAAATAAACATGACAAACGGTGTAAAACATGAAGCCATGCACAAGGCTGCGTAGTTATTACGTTCTATGATTAATGATTAATCTTTTTTTTTTTTAAATTAAGGGTGGCTAAGAAAGCAAGCTACATATGTACATACAGACTAAATATTTTACCAACCACCCGGATTTTCGCAGTCTATTTATATACCAAGTATTTAAAGCTATTTATGTTTTGTTTTCCAACTCCCACCTTTACACTAATGTACAGGTAATATTTAATATGATAAATTACAATCATATCTAAATCAAATTTAATTTAAAATTTATTTGGAAAAATATTTTTGTGCTAATTTCGAACTGAATATTGAAATAATAAAAAATAAAAAGTAATATTGTTAACAAGTATTTCTAATAGAAAAAAAAAGCAAATCCGAACAATATCCAAAGAAAATAAAAAAGGAAACGGTATAACCGAATGATGTAATTTTTAAATAAAATATTCCTAACTAATCATAAAGCATAAAATAAAATAAAATTTCCACCCCTACTAAGGTGTTAATTATTCCATCTTGTCGTTTTAACAAAAAAAAATAAAGGCTAATTTTTTTTTAATCAACACCAATGTGAATATAGTAATATGATTCGTCGGATAAATCGACATTTTTATAATTAAATTTCTGCAATAAAATGTCAAGAAGATTAGCATGCATTTAAGGAGACGTGACGGAAAATCAAGGATGATGAGATGAGCAATGGGGGAATCTTAGAAGTGTAGGACTCCACGATCGGTGATTTTGAACATACGACAAGTAAGACCCCATTTTTGTCCTAATGAGCCCAACGTCTTTTTACCTTTCCCATTCAACCATTTCCATATCAAGGAAACTTTATCTTCCCTGTCCGTTTTCCCGTGTCGACACGAACAAGAAAATTGAGAGAGAGAGAGAGAGAGAGAGAGGGAGAGAGAGAGAGAGAGAGAGAGAGAGAGAGAGAGAGAGAGGTTGTTTGAAGCTTTATCCAAGTATTTCAAGGCAATACACATGTTATATTTCAAGGCAATATATATGTTATATAATTCAATATTGGAAGTTACCCAAACACCAATACAAGCACCAATATAGCAATATAGAATTTGTTACGATCGTAACAAAGTAAAAAATCACAAATATTATCTAATATTACAAATCATAACTATAATGAAAGCTAGTACTGATATTAAACACTATGAACAGGGGAATATCCGGTTATCCTTAATAATAATATTATTCACTTTGAAAAAAATATGAATTATTAAAATAATGTCACTGTTTCTCCATCGGCATTTTTACAGAAATATACTACTTGTGTCACAACAATTCCAGGGATACACTTGCAAATTAGAGACAAAAAAGTTTAAGACATTGTACATCTTTTTTTTTCTAAATTACTTAAATATCCTTACATTAAAAACGTCAAAAATACCCTTTAGAAATTAAATAAAAAAAGAGTGGAGCCTTTATTTGAAAAAGCAGAATTGTGTCGTCTCTTTTCTCTCCTGTTGCATCGTTCTCATGTGCTAGGGCTTCTCCATTGTTACATATCATTGACTTCTTGGGCGATTTTTGCATCGTTTTTTTTTGCATTTAATGGAAAAATATGCTATTAAGGTATAATAATTGTAAATCCAAATAAATTTCTCCATTATCATGTCATTTTTAATACTATATGGTTTGATACTTTGATATGAGTTTAAGGTATGGATGACGAAAACAGATTTTGGGTTTAAAGAATGATGAATATTGGTGTTTTTTACAAGAAAATTGATGGTTTTGAAGATTTTTATATGTATGTTTATATTCGGTATAATGGTATTTGAAAAAAACGGCGAAAGAAAAAAAAATCAATGATGAATCTATGTGATTCGAAAGAGTCGAATGCGACGGTCAAACAAGAGGAAGAATAAGAGAAAAAGAAATTGAGGTGCAGATAGGAGATGAATTGTAAACTGATATATGTATATTTTATCTTATAACTGTAACGACTTTTTGAGAACTATTAAATCGCGATTACGTTGCGACCTTTTGGACTTGATATCTTTTGAAAACAAATTCTAGGGAAGTTTATTTATAAAAAAAACTATCATCTCGAAAAGCAAAAAATGGTCAGGAATATTTGTCGAAAAGAAAAGTTGTCCCTAGATCCACAATCAGAAAAATAAATACGAAAATAATTGAGAAAAAATTAGACTGATACCTGCCAAAAAAGAAAAATTTTGTCTTATTATAGACCAAAACTAATATTTTGCAACTTGATTATGAATGCATTATGATTGTCGAAAGTCGGTGAAAGAATCTCACAAATCGTTAAATGAAACAAGTTTTTATTGAAAATTCATATATATTGACTGAATATTGATTAATTAAGTCAAAAAATTGAGTTTGAAATCAAATTACAAAACTTTTATATAAATCATCAATTTGGACCAAATCACTTTATAATCTTTCTTAAATATATAGAGTACTTTCTAGTTTCTAGCTTACTTAATAAAAATTTTTAAAAATTTTATTTTGTTAATTTGTACCTTTCAATCATTTTATAATACTTATTTTGTATATATTTTTTATCATTAATCGAAAAATTTTTTGTCAAAATTTACGAATTTTTATATAATTACGGCTAATGTAAGTCGTAAATAAATTATAATTTATACTTTGACTTTTATTTTTTTGATGACTTTTTGTCACTTTTATTTTGACGCTTTTTTCATCAATTACAATGAATTGTCTTTATGTTTATTCATTTTTTGGAAAATATCAACTACTCAATTGTGTCACGGGCCTAGGGTTAGATTAGGCTGATCCGTGAGGCAGCTGGGCCTGGGAGAAGGTTCGAAGGCGATCCGAACGTGCTGTGGACGTGTGAGGATGCCGAGAAGCCCAACTAAGCCTATCTCAAGGACTTGGTCCGAGAGATTGAGTGTGGTTCGAGGGAAAAGTGCGAGAGGGCCGAGAGAATGCGAGGGAGAAGAACGCCGACGGTACGGCGGGGGATCTTATTAATAATCAAAGAAGGGTTACAAGGGGATCGGTGGCCCGTAACAAGCTCAACACACGGTGGTTGGAAAGCCGCCGGTGAAGAGGAGCAAAGAAGATGGCCACCGATGTAAGCTAGGGTTTCGGAGCCTTAGGAGAAATTAGGGGGTTTTCGAGCTTAGTTTCTCCCCTTGTGGCCGACGCCCTTAATAGGTCTTACCACATAACCACAAAAAAGGAAACTTCACAATTCTACTTCCCTTATTTCCCATTCGGATCCTACTTGCCTAAAACAAGAAAAGAAAGACCTAAAACATGCCTAAAACGAAAAGGAAACACGCCTAAGTAATCTAATGGGCCATGGGCCAAGAATTGGCCATGGACAAAGCCTCGGACACGTCCATGAACTCGTCATGGACCATGGACGAGGTTTTGGGCCAATCTTGGTCATGGGTTGGTCCGAATGTGGCCTGGGCTTGGACGTGGCTTGGACGCGAGCTGGAGGGTGTCAAGAGGTCTGGGGTGAGTGGTCTGTGTCCGTCCTTGGTCCTGGGCTAGAGTTGTCCCATGCAGAAGCTTCTCGGGTGTGTCCGCAAGGAGCTATCGGGCTGGCCGAGAAGTGCTGGACTGGTGCGGGATTCCTCGGACGCGTGCGAAGCAGAGTGTCGAGCTGGCCGAGACTTGTTGAGCGGGTCCGACATTCCTCGAGCTGTGCGACACGTTTTCTCGGACGCGTGCGGGATTTCTCGGTAGCGTGCAAGCTGCCTTGGTTCCGACTGTCCGTGAACGTACCTGTACACACGGATGAACGAGAAAAATGGAATGGACACGGGAAAAGAAAAATTACCCATTTTCTTCCTGACATGCTCCCCCACTTGAACTCGGGACGTCCTCGTCACGTCTCCATGCCCTTGTGTGCCTAGTTGTGATTGGTGTTGAACTCGCGGATCATGTCCGCGAATTGCCAAAGGTCTTCCTCCTTTTCCCAAGTGTTCTGAGAGTCGGGCAGCCCCTTCCACTGGATGTAGTACTCTCGGTACCTAGCTCCTTGTTTGCTTATTGGTCGGCGGTCCAAGATCATCTCGGCCTCCTTTGTATATTGCGTCGTGGAAGGGATTGGAGCTCTCATAGACCTGTTTCTAGCATCATCCGAAGGGTCAGATTTGTAAGGCTTAAGAAGACTTACATGGAACACGGGGTGAATCTTGATCCTCTCCGGGAGTTGGAGTTTGTAGGCCATCTTCCCGATCTTCTCGATGATGGGGTATGGCCCGTCGAATTTCCTGGTGAGGCCTCGGTGTAAGGTCCTCATCTTGAGGAAGTGATGCGGAATGATTTTGACCATGACTTGGTCTCCTACATTGTACTCCATTGGTCTCCTCTTCTTGTCCGCGAACTTCT